CACGGCCGACATGTCTCGGCCACACCCCAGATTGGCCACGGCCACGGAAAAAAAAAAAAAAAAAAAGGAAAGTGTGCTACAACTGCCCTTTTCAAACTCGGGGCCTGATGTTACCGCCTTCTGATGTTATGAGTGCCTTTTCGAACTACGGCCATTTTTCCGTTGCCCATTATTGTTTTTTTTGCCCTTTTGAACTTCGTTTGTGACACAAACGTACTTGCCCCCAAAAAAAAACTTAGGGGTGGTTAGGGACAGTTACGGGCAGTTAGGGACAGTTAGAGGCGGTTATGGGCGGTTAGGGGAGGGTCGGTGACAAGCATGGGTGGTTACGGGTGGGTGCATACAATTATGGGTAGGTACGGGTGGGTACAGCTAAAGAAAACTTGGGTAGGGTAGGGTATGGGTGGTTAACAAACGGTTTGGGTTCAGGTGGCCATGGGTGGTTTTGAAAAAAAATGTTCCTGGGTAGGTATGGCCAGTTACATGCTGACGAAGTTCAGGTAGGGTAGGTCTGGGTATACGGTTTTTTTTTTTCCGCAGGTGGAGATGGGTAAAGGTCCGGCAGGCCAGGTATACAGTGGGTATGGGTGGTTAGCTTTTAGAGAGGGTGTGGTTAGGTCAGGTACAGGTATTCCTAAAAATCCCAATTGCGAACTCTGATGCACGCATGTATGTCGTTTTAAAAGACCCCAGATTCTCCCTCTCATTCCCTTCACAAATCATCACAACCCATCCATAACGAAAAAGTATAGATAAGCAATATAATAGAAAATGCAAGGTTGACCACGTTCGTGTGGTTCAGCAAGTGACCACACACCTGTCTGCCGCCAAAGCGGCACACTTGCACATATACATATGTATACATGTATACTACTCCAGCAAGAAGGCACCAACCCAACCCCCTCAAAGGTCCGCAAAAATTTGGAGAGCCTTCCACATCAGCCCACAAAACCAAAAACTCATTTACCAAAAACAAACAAATATAACAGCATTGGCATTCCCGACATTCATCTCAAACTATACACTCGCGTCACTGCCAAAGAGGAGGAAGAAGATAAGAGACAACTTACCGAAGACAGAAGACTCCTCCAGCAAGAATGCCCACACGTGTGCTTCATCCACAGAGGGAAGGGTGAGTTCTCATTGATTTCATGCATATGCTCCTACTTGTACTTCATGTATGTGATCTCGATTGCACTTCGATTCATACTACCATCTTCCCCCGAACACAACGCACCCTCATTTTGGCTGTATCTGGCCGGAAATTTAACTCGTATACATTCATGTTTAGGGTGCGTTATGTTCGGGGGAAGACGGTAAGTAGGAAGGAGGGTGAGTTCTCATTGATTTCTTTGTCGATTCTTCACTTGATTGTGCTTGTACTTCATGTATGTGCTCTTGGCTGTACTCCGATTCATACTAGGTAGGTCGATAGGCAAGTTCTCATTGAATTCTTGCTGATTCTTCAGTCATTAGTGCTTGTACTTCATGTATGTGGTCCTAGTTGTACTTCGATTCATACTAGGTAGGTAGGTGGGTAGGTTCGGATTGCATTCTTGTTGATTCTCTACTTGATTGTGCTTATACTTCATGTATGTGCTCCTAGTTGTACATCGGTTCATACTTCACTGTGTAGGTGGGTAGGTAGGCACTAGTTCTCATTGTTCTTGTTGATTCTTTACTTCACTGTGTTTGTACGTCACGTGCTTTTGGTTATACTTCGATTCAAACTATGTTGGTAGATAGTCTAGTTCTCATTGGTTTCTTTGTTGATTCTCTACTTGTTTGCGTTTGTACTTCATGTATGTGCCCTTGGCTGCACTTCAATTCATCCTAGGTAGGTAGACAGGCTAGTTCTCATTGACTTCTTGATGATTCTCTACTTGTTTATGCTTGTACTTCATGCATGCGCTCCTACCGGTAGTTGTACTTCGATTCATACTAAGTAGGGGGAGGGGTGAGTTCTCATTGATTTCTTAGTTGCAGTTCAATTCACTTGATTGTGCTTGTACTTCATGTATTTACTATTTACTCTCGGTTGCACTTCGACTCGTACTAGGAAAGTAGTAGGTTAATTCTCGTTGTCTTATTGGTGATCCTTGACTTGCTTGTGCATTTGTACTAGGTATGTGCTGTTGTTTCCACTTCGGAGTATCCTAGGTAGGTAGGGAGCTGAGATTACCTTGTCTTCTTGGTCATTCTTCACTTTTTATTTATTTATTTATTTATTTATTTATTTTTTTATTTTTAGGTGATTTTTCAATTGTTTGTACATATGTACTAATTTATGTGCTCTTGTCCTACTTCGGAGCATCCTAGGTAGGTAGGTAGTTGAGATTACCTTGTCACTTTCATGTTTCTTCACTTGTTTATACATGTGTGCTATGTATGTGCTTTTACTTTGAAGTATCCTAGGTAGGTAGCTAGTTTGGTTAATCTTGTCTCCATGATTCTTCTCTCACTTGTGCATAAGTACTGTGTATGCACCATACATGCGGCGCATGCAGTGCGCGGCCCCCGCGCCCATGCGGCCCATTGCGCACAGTGCAGCATGTGCGCGCACTATGTGCGCCACACCCCAAAAAAACAGGGTCGGAGAAAAGAAAAGAAAAACTCACAGGGGTCAATACCAGGCTGCCCCCTCTCCTTGTGTAAAATACTTGACACCAAGGAAAAAAGTTTCTGGTGCCGCGTGTCAGCCCGAAAGAAAAATGGGAGGAAATCTGGCAGACCTCCGCAACGCAGCCTCTTTCCTCCCCCAGATGAGTCAGGGCGATTACTATCGCCAGACACGTTTGCAGCTTGCAGAAATGGCCGTTGAATCAGGGCACTTTCGCTTGAGAAGCAGCCTGACACGTGAGAGGGCGGACTGAACTCCCTCCACATACAATATCTTTCAGCCCGCCCGCTCACGTGCCAGCGCCCTCTATCGTGAAAGTGCCGTGACGCAATGGTCACTTCTCCTGGAAAAGGGCGTTGCTCCACTACTCTCCCATGCATGAAAGACGACAAATGTGGCAATCTTTCCATGTTCTGGCCGAAGATTCATTCTCATTTGCACATTTGTTGAGTAGTGGAGCGGGCCCAGAATCTGCGTATATCTCGAGATATGTCTTTTTGAAGTTTTTCTTTTTCCTTTACCTAGGGCCATATCTCGATTTATGTTATCTTCTCTGTATCATTCGATCTGGACGACCACATACATCTATTGTTCGAGGACAAGTGGCCGTTGCATCAGACGGCGGGCCATGTGTTTGTTTGACATCCCCTCATTATGACTGTATCCAACCTGAAGGATGCTCGTATATATTGGAAAACAGTTTCAACCCTCGCATCATTCACGAATGTATACAAACATCTTTCAGGTTGTGTACAGTCATCATGAGGGGACCTGAGAGGGCGGACCTTAAGATGCTTGTAGGGCGTCGCTCGACCACTCAACACATGCACAAAGGACAAAAATGATGGCGGTGTATCTTCTATTCTAGCAGAAGATCCATTCTCATTTGCACATTTGGAGAGCAGTGGAGCAAGGACAGTACTCGGACAAACGTGGAACAAAGGCCGTGTGAGAACAAAAGGACCGTATTCATCCCAAAAGGTGATATCTAAATCCCACCATCTTCTTTTTTTTTTTCTTCTTTTTCTTTTTTTTTCTTTTTTTTTTGATGTGTGCGCATCAAGGCAGTGCCCCTATGCGCGAGGTGTGTGCGGTGTGCGCGCATAGCAGATTCACACATCGCGTATAACGCATGCGCGCGCACCAAGGCAGTGTGCCGACGCGCGAGGTGTGCGCCGTGCGTGTGCATAGCAGAATCACGCACCGCGTATAGCGCACCGCACCGCACGGCGCAAGTATTTTCCTAACCCTCTATCAAAAAAGGGTAAAAAGTTGGCCTACAAAAGAAGGGGCCCTATAAAAGGTGCGCTGTTAATCTTAACTGTGGAAATTATGCAATAGTTTTGTTCTATGCGCAAAGGATGAATTAAGTTCCCTTTACTTTGTCCTTACATCTTGCTCGCCACATCGCCCAGAGAAACGTTCTCCGCGTTCGGGCTTAGGTGGAATGGAGGAAGGTGGTAGTACAGGAATCATGGAGACAGGATTAGGAGTGGGATGGAGAGAAGTGGCAGCCAACACAAATGGACAAGGAGTTTGATCCCTAGAAAAGAGACAGTATACAGAAAAGCTCTGAAGAAGTCTGGGTCAGGCAGGGAACCATAGCCCAGATAAAAGTGAGATCTTTGGGGTTCAACAGTTAGCGAAAAACACAACAAGGTGGGAAATTATGTCAACTATAGGTGGGGGTGGTATGGCAGTGGTAGGGGATAGGTAGGTGATGACTATAGAGTCTAGACTCTAGACTAGTATATAATAGTTCAGTGACTTAGGAATATGAACGTGGGTTATAGTCGGCTGTGGGGTCAAGCATATGTGGGGCAGGTATGGCGGTGGTAGGGGGTAGATAGGTGATGAAGGGGCAGGTGTTCTAGGCGTCCTACTGCAAGATCTGAAATTTGTACCCAGCCTACAGCTACTACAGAAAATTCACAAGTAACCAAGCCTACAGCTAAATCAACTTCTCGCAGCAAATTGACAAGTCGCCAGGCCTACAGACTACTGCAGAAAACTCACAAGTCACCAAGCCTACAGCTAAATCAGATTTTGCAAAAATTTCAGATTTTCAAGAAAATCAGACTTCGCGGAAAATTCAGACTTTGCAGAAGATTTAGACACGTGGAAATTTCAGACTTTCAAGAAAAATCAGACTTGCAAATTTTATAGAAAACTCAACCCTCTACTACAACCTACCCACCTAGGATGATTCAAAGCAGGAACAGGTTAAGAAACGATTACCTTGGTGCACAGCCGAGGGCTGATAAGAGAAGAAAGCATGTCCAATGTGCGATTCAACATACCTCGGTCCCAAACACCACTCTGTGCCTCTGAACACGGATGCAATGCCTCATCCTGAGAGAGAATAAAAGACGAATGAACAGGCCAGCCACAACAAGAGACGAATGAACAGGCCAGCCACAACAGTAAGGGCAAAAGCAGTACCTTCCGGGTGGTCGCATGGTACACACATGTAGCCATCGATAAACTGTACACACATGCAGCCATTGATAAACAAGCCAAGTTTTCAAATCCCATTGCACAAAGAAATGTTAGGCAATTATTCCCTCTACACGGCCATTGCTCCCAAAGAATTCCATAGGTCAGAATAGGGCCCGCATTAGCAGCAGGGTGTCCACAGGTCAGTTGGGCCAAGGGGGGTGGAGGGAGGGGAGAGTGCAGCAATGCACAAAATTCTGGCATGGACAAAATTTTGTGCACTGTTTCACCCCCACCCCAACCTTTCACACTCAGAATTTTTCACGAAAATTGCAGCTTAATCATGGTTGTGAGCAACATGTTCAGAAGTTATTTCCTCGTCCTTCATCATCATCCTCATTTTCTAGGTCATTGTGCCTTTTATTCCTCCTCCCCACCCTTCTCCTCTCACTTGGCATCATTGTTAGTGTCCCACTCTCCAGCTGCCTCCTCCTCATTAGCCAAGTCGTTGAAATGATTGTGGATCCTCCTTCCCCTTCATCCTCCACCTCCATTCTCCTGCTCCCCTTCGTCATTTTCCCTTCCTGCTTCCCCTCCTGTCCCCCTTGTCCAGCTACTTCTTCCTCCTCTCCCTTGCTTTGTAGTTCTATTATCTACAATTATGCGACTTCCGTTGTTATTACAATGAACCTCGCAAATCCAACCCAACTCAAACATGCAAGAAGAGAGCATTCACATGAGAGTTCACACCATGCCCAAGAGATAACACATGAATCAGCGCCAGATGAATTTCCCCTCCAAAATATGATATTATACAATTCACCAGTGGCATTTATTTCACCGCCTAACAATTTATACATATATATATTTTTCGTGGAAAGCCCACGACCAAATCTAAAGACCCGCCAATTTTCAGAGTTCTCAAGACATTCTACTGAGCGCGAAAAATCCTGGAAGTTAGGGTACTTTTTCCGTTGGCCCACGCGTTGTAGAGTGGCAAAAATGGAAAATGTGATGAATTGGCACGGCATTTATTTCATGGTCTAAAATAATTTTTCTCATTTTTCTGATATTTTTCCCCGAAAGATCACGACCTAATCTACAGGATCTCAATTTCTCAGTTTCTTGTCTTAAATTTTCTGGGCATGAAAAATCGCCAAAACAAAATTGCGGGACTGAACCCGCCTGCGCCTGCCAGTCAGCAACCCCCCTAAAATCCCGCTCCTAACTCGCCCGATTGCCATTTTTGGGTGTCGGGTACAGTGGTGGTTTCAAAAAGAAAGACTGAAAACTGCATTATGTCTTCATCAAATGTGACTGTGGGCACTCTTTTCCTGAACACACTGCATTGTACCCTTTTTTTTGTGTGGTGTCATATTCCCTATACACAACTCCACAAAGAAAAGCATGACTGCGCCAGACTCTTTTGTTGGACTTTCACCGACTCCTCGTCAGTCTGCCCAGGATGAATTTGACTGATGGATAAGGACTCACCACGTCGCCCAAGTTAGCAATACCCCTGAGAAAAGTGGTCGACTTACTCACACTAACCCTGCAGTGCAGTGTGTGTGTACACCCTAAAACATCAAGTGCTCGAGGAATAGCACAGGAACACACAATCAAACCCCGTTATTTGGTACACTTCACAGAGTGTTTGCACTTTTTCCCCCGCTTTTCTATGTCAGGATTCAGTACCAATGCAGGAAAGGCTAAACTGTGTCCTCAATCGGGTCTCACATTGAAAATCTTGATGGCAATGGCTCTCGCTGCAGTACGCTAAACTCTTGAAAAAGTTCAAGCGTCCATCGAGAACTTTCAGACCAAAGAAATGGCCGCATGCTGTCATCGCTGTTATTACTCCAGACTCTCGACTCTCCACTCTCGTGAAGCACTCTCGTGAAACCTGACAGATCACTGCTCGTGAAACCTGACCGATCACTACACGACAGCGCCGCCGCGGTTCGTCGGCCCAGACTGGAGACTGGCTCTAGAAATTTCCGACCGCATGAGGGGTCCTAGCGACCTCCCTTAAAAAAAAACGCCCTTGCAGGCGGGCACTGTAGAATCGTCAAGCGTTCATGAGGAAGGCGGTTTCTGACAGCTCTTGAAGTCCGAGATGGAGAGCTCCTTTCGAAAGTTAATGCAGCGATGACACACTCTCGACGTTTTCGAGAGTGCTTCTGACAGCTCTTGAATGGGAAGTCATGCCGCTGCATCAAGAGTTAGTGCAGCGATGACGAACTCTTGATTTGTCAAGATTCAAGCATAGTGCAGCAAGGCCCAATGTTGATTCAGGCCATTGGAATACACTGCCACAACATTCACGGAGAAGAGGCGGTGGTGCCAAAAGTGCTGCAGGATGACATTGAAGCTCATCAGACGTTACAAGGATGGGGATATCAAATAAAGCAACCATCCCACAAGACTTTCCAGCAGGACTACGCTTCGAAGCTTCGTACTTGTTGGCCTTCCTCTTTCATATCCAGCTCTCTGCTCTCTAAGTCTTCTGGTGTCCCTTTTTTTAACTTTTGCTTCAAGAAGAATTTCGATCGGTTTGCATCACTGCTAGAACAGAACAAGGAGGTAGTCACAAGTGCCAATAAAACACACACACAGTGGTCAGCAACTTCGCTTGCTGAGCTAAATGACCTACAACATGTAGAAGAGGGAGGAAAAGATTCTTAAAAAGAAAGAAATTTGTGCCTGCACACCACATACACACACATAACGCACAATGAGAGAGAGGGGGGGGGGAAGAAAGAAAACAATCACGTGCCTGACAATGGCTAAGTTCTGACAATGGCTAAGTTGTTTCACAACACGAGAGATCATTACAGACAGGCTCAGAAGCCCCGGCCGATGAAAGACCCCATGTGTGAATGTGGTTTGGACTCTTTGGACTTAAAATCAGAACACCAAAAGCGGGGCCTCTCCAGCTTTTTCCCCCTTTTGGGTCAGCTCAGCGCCTCAGCGAACAACTCGTCACAAAAACTCACCTCGAAGGCCGGAACAACGTAACCAACCATAAAGCCTTCCATGGGGCCTCTGTTGGTCTAGAGACAGACATTGGGGCACTGCAAACACTCCGTATTACTAAGCTTCCACATGACCTGGCGTATCATGGCACATGGCCACTTTTGGAACTCACCAACCAAGACCTCCTCTGCAGAACCCAGGCCTCTCCGAGTCATGCCCAAACGTTGGACTCCACAAACCGCCATCCTGCACCAACTTCCCCACCTCCTTCCTTCTTGCAACTCTTCATCCTCTTTCTCTCACTAATCTCTCAAACCACTGGTTGCGCACAAGCTGGTCAGAGATCACGGTCCATGGAGGGCAACAACCCGTGGTGCAGCTCCGCCGATCATCCCGGTTTTGCAATTTTTTTAGTCTTCCTCCCTTTTATCTGCGCTGACCGTTCGGCTCTTTCCTTCTCTCTTTGATGTTGGTCGCAACACTGCACAGACCGCAGGTCATACGCCCAAGCGTCAAGCAGGTCCTGCGCCCAAGCGTCAAGCAGGTCCTGCGCCCATGCGTCAAACAGGCTCGTCATGGCCAAAAGACTAGCTGAACTGAGGACATGGGCAGGTCGTACACTTAAGGCTGGTAGAGGGATGGAGCAGAGTTGAGGCTGGATGGAACCTGTGTGGTGGCATGGTTCAGTGATGGCCATACCTTTCTATATTTGGTAAATCTGTGTGCTGGTCCCAAGGCCCCGGCACATTCTTTTAAGCTGTCTGATTCCGGTTCTGTTCCATCCATGTCCTTCTCTGCTTCATCTGGCTTTTGTCAGGTCATGAGTGTGAGCTCCAGTACGGTCGTGTTGGTAGAGTCTTTCATTGCCTTTGCATGAAGTGCATGCATGAGGTTGTTGTTGTCGATGGCTTGGTTTGGGTCGCTTGTCGATGCAAGCGTGCATGGCCGGGCATTTGCGTATAGTTCGTGCTCGAATTCTTTATTGGTATGATTGCACAGCCAAGAGTCCATAGCCAAAGTTGTCATCTTCCCGTTCTCACGTTCTTCCTCCTTCCACAACATCTACAGCTCCATAGCTCAGCTAGAGGCCGACCACCCTCCAAAATCTTCCCAGTACTTCGCCCTCCAGCTCCACCCTCAACCTCGAGGAGCTTCGCCATCTTCTCCGTCTTGGCGGAGCAGCAGCATGGCTGTCGGGTGAATGAGCAAACTGCTCATTGCATGGAATGATGTTTTTCGCTGCCCAGCCTCCACTACGTCTTGGCTGGGCACTACCTGCCTCTATCCAACCTCCCTTGGGTTCATCAAGCCTACTAGGTGTTTCGTGCTTTTGATGGGCACTACCTGCCTGCATCCAGCCTCCCTTGGGTGCACCAAGCGTACCAGGTGTTCTTGCTTCTGACAGGAACAACATCGGAGACTGGTATCTACCTACAGACACTGAATCTAGACTTCTACCGGCCTACATTCAGGCCCTGGACCATCATTACCCATTAGATACCCGACCCTTCCAAGCCCAACCGACTTGTTGGAAAATCTTTTCTGGGTTTCTAACAAAGTCTACTTATACCCCTCTGTTCCTCCAAGCCTTCCCCAATTCCGTCCAGCACCCAATTTCAATCATATCCCTGCCATTCCACCAACTGGCTACTTTGCCCTGTCCTCGACATGGCCACACATCACGGTGAGTTGAGTTAGCACACGCACCCAGACTCAGACTCAGACTCAGGCAAGCCCACAGCACACATACGTTAGTGGTAGGTAGGTCACACACACACACACACACACACACACACACACACACACACACATAGAAACAACAGAAAAACAGACTCAAAATCAGACTTTTTAGAAATCAGATCAAAAGACGGCATACAAGTGCCCAAATCTGAGACTACCACTTGTGTAGGTTGCAGGTCATTGCACACCAGATCATGTTACTGCTGCGACTGTTTTACCGCACCAGATAATGTTACTGCTACTGGTTTTACCACACTAGATGCAGTATCGCACCAAAATGTTACTGCGACTGTTTTACCGCACCAGATCATGTTACTGCTGCGACTGTTTTACGGCACCAGATAATGTTACTGCTACTGGTTTTACCACACTCGATGCAGTATCGCACCAGAATGTTACTACTCTGCTTTATCCCATCAGATAATGTTTCTACCCTGCTTTACTCCCCTGCTTTACTCCCCTACTTTACTCCCCTGCTTTACTCCCCTACTTTACTCCCCTGCTTTACTCCCCTGCTTTACTCCCCTGCTTTACTCCCCCCTGCTTTACTGCCCTGCTTTACTCCCCTGCTTTACTGCCCTGCTTTACTCCCCTGCTTTACTGCGCTGCTTTACTGCCCTGCTTTACCGCAGCAATATAATGCTGCTGTCGCAAAATCTGTAGGAAATTTTGCATCAAGCTCGGAGATTACTCGCATATTCCGGTGTGTCCACTGGTCGTTCTCCGGTATCGCACGATCATCACCCCAATGGTGGTCAAATTCCTTTCTTTCCCTGTTTGGGGAGGGGGAGGGGGAGGGCGAGGGGGGCGGGGTCGAAGGAAGGAAGATGGGGGGCGAGGTTTCGTTGATGTATAGAGGACAAAAATACCCATGACCCGTGGATGACCCATTTTGTGAAGCAATCGAGTTCCGTCAGAGAGGCTTCCTTGACTGTGTTTTCCTTCCATTTTTTCCAATTCAGAGTTTGGGTTTACGGGATTACTTGCCAGGGATCCAAATCAGTGGGGGTCATGCTCAGCCGGGTCCGGCTTTATAGAAGCGTAATATACTTCTTTTTTTCTTTTCTTTTTCTTTTTTTTTTTTTTTTTTTTTTTTTTTTTTTTTTTTTTTTCAGTGTCGGCTTATAGGTCATGCCAATTGTCGGGTATTGCCGAGGAGACGGTACCCATGATGAAGCGGGGCTGGCCTGTGATCCCACAAACGACACTCATTCTTTTTGACACAAAGGGGGGGAAGAGGGTAGGGGGGGAGGGGTTGACGAAGACGGGTTTGGGGCTTAGGGTTTTAAGCCAGGCATATCTCCTGACCCGTCAGGTTTTTGAGTGACTGAGTTTGGGCCATTGACTCCAGAGCTTTTTGGACATTTAGGGAATCAGCGCCGGGGACAAGGCCCACTCACTTACATGGATTATTCCTTCGTGAGCATTGATCTTCATAATCTAACGGTCAGAAATGAAGAATCCGGGTAAGTGGGACCTCGGTCACCTTACCAAGGGGGAGAGAGAGAGAGAGAGAGAGAGAGAGAGAGAGAGAGAGAGAGAGAGAGATAGAGAGAGAGAGAGAGAGAGTATGTCAGAAATGAAGAATCCGGGTAAGTGGGACCTCAGAAATGAAAATAAGGTGGTAGTATGTCGTCACTGTGGCCTTGAATTTTCTGAAAGGAGGGAGAACAAGAAAAAGGGACATCCTGATCGTCATCGACAACCGTAGTCGTTCTTATCCCGACAGCAGAAGGAACAGCAGCCCTCACCATACCAAGAGGGAGAGACAGAGAGAGAAAGAGAGAGAGAGAGAGAGAAGAACGATGACAGAAGGTGAGGTTAAGCAGGCGCGCGCGCGAGAGAGAGAGACGGAGACAGACGGCGCCGCCCATGTTTTTTGCCTTCTCCCTCCCGCATCCTCCTACGCCATCGGGCCTCATATAAGGCAAGCGTGAATGCGTAGAAGATTCAATCACAACCGCGCGGATGCTTCTAGAAGATCCCATGCCAAACCCGGAGGATTTTCAAAGATTCTATCACAACCGTGGATTCTTCCTAGATCCCATTGCCACCGCCGCGGATGCTTGTAGAAGATGCAATCGCAAGCTTGTAGGGAAGGCGGATGGCGACTTTTGGCTTTGTGGTAACGTGAATGACGAATCGAAAGTGAGAGAGTTTCTGGAGTCACGCCCGCCTAGCCGTGGGGCGTAATCTCGACACAAACGAGGGAGGAAGAGAGAAGGGAGAGAGGAAAGGGAGGAAAGGGTGCCCCTCCTGATTCCCCAAGGCACATCATCCATCACCGTGTAAGGAAAGCCACAAGTATTTCGTCACATGTAATTACAAAGAGATCCGTATCTGTGCACCTGGCTACGTAGTGGCTGACTTCTATGTCATTCTTGATAAACAGATTGAGGGTTCGATTCCTGTTGGATACAACTACAACGCATGTCAAGGGCTAACGCTCTTTATTATGGGAAGGGAGGGGTGGGGGGAGGGG